AGGACGTAACCGACAAGAGGCCGCACTTGGACCAGGCGGCGCGGCAGCTCCCCTCGGGCGACTTCGAGAACGGCCCTTTCGCTTGCTTCGACGACTGCCACACCTGCATGCACGCGTTCTTCTGCACATGCTGCCGCGCCGGGGACACCTTCCAGGCGGCTGGCATCGAGCAGTACTGGACCGTGATCGGCATCTTCGTCCTCGCAGTCATCGTCGCCGACATCGTGAGCAGTTTCGTCGCGAGTTTTGTGGGCGCGAGCATCGCGGCGAGTGGTGGCGACCCAGAGCACGCGACCCGCCTTACCTCCAGCCTCACGAATATGATCTTGGCGATCATCACTGGTGCCGTCTTCCAGAGGTACCGCCGCAAGCTGCGGGTAAAGCTCGGCGGGAGCGAGGAGGGGGGACCCGGCGTCGCCGTGGACTTCCTCATGTACGCGTTCTGCACTCAGTGTGTCGTCGCGCAGGAAGCGCGTGAGATCGACGCCGCCACCAGCGTCAAGGTCGAGTGCTGCTGCAGCCTGACTACCGCGGCGAGCGCGCCCCTGGAAGGCCAGCCCTTCGTCGGCCAGCCGCAGCCGCTCATCGGCCAGCCGGTGTACGGGAACGTCGCGTGATACAGTGAGGGGAAGGAGGAGGCGGAGGGCAGAGGGCGCGGCGGCCGCGCCCTCCGCCCTCCTAGTGCAGGGGTTACCGTAGTGCACGAATCGACGCCGTCTAGTTGCTAGCGCAGTGCAATGATTAGTGCAGTGTAGTGCAGTTGCTAGCGCAGTGCAATGAATCGTATCCGACATGCTCTTAATCGTTTGAAAGTGTTTACAACATTCTGTATATATGGCGTCGGCGTCGGTAATGTTCAGAACACCGACAGGGGCCTGATAAGTTGTTATCCCTTGCCTAGCCGCTCCTGAGCGCCTACTCAGCGCGGCCTTGAGTACCGTCAAGCTCCAAAGGTGCCGCAACCCTTGAAAAAAAAAAGCTTCCAAGAGGGCCCCAGGACAGCCCAAGAGGGCCCCAAGACGGCCCAAGAGGCGCCCAAGATGGCCCAAGAGGGCCCCAAGACGGACCCAAGAGGGGCCCAGAGGGGGACCACGAACCGCAAGCTCGAGCCTTCCGCCCCAAGAGGCCGCCAGGAGGCCCCAAGGAGGCCCCTCAAGAGGCCCCAGGAGACCCCCAAGAGGCCCAAAGGAGGCTCCGAGAAGCCCCAAATCGGCCCCCAAAATGCTTCGAACCTGCTTCCAGGAGGCCCCCGACAGGTTCAGAGGCTCCCGAGAAGCTACGTCAAACTCCCAGCGAGCGGCCGGACGAGGCCCCCCACAAAATCACAAGAGGGTTCCAGTATTTGTATCCTTCAGCGCTCTCTGGCCTTTTTCCCCCTGCCCCCTTCCCTGCGTGACCCGGGAGGCCCCGGGCGGCCCCCAAGAGTCCTCCAACATGGCTCCAAACGCTTCCAAAAGCACTCCCACGAGGGCCCCAGCAGGCCAAACATTGATTTTTTCAATAGTCTTGGAGGGTTGGCCTTCTGATCTCGGCGGCTGTCCGACGCTCCTAGGCGGCCCAGGAGACCTCCGAGACCGCTCCCAAACAGCTCCAGAAGCGCCCAAGGCCGCCCCGAGGCGGTCCCAGAGGGCCCAAGGCTGGCCCAAGAAGCGCCCAGGGCCGCCCACGAGGGCCCCAAACAGGCCCGAAAGGTGTCCAAGAGACGGACCGCGCTCGGAAAACCCAGGGCTTCCGCTTCAAGAGAGCCCCAGGGGGCTTCAGATAGCTCCCAAGAGGCTTCAAACATGGCTCAGGACGCTTCCAGGAGCACCCCCCAAGAGGGTCCCAACAGGCCAAAATCGTTCGTTTGACTCAGGAATTGGAGGATCTTGGCCTTCTTGTCTGTTCGGCTTTCCGACGCTCCAATGGGGCCCAGCGCGCCTCCAGGTCCGTTCCCAAACAGCCCTGGGCGGGCCCGGGAAGCCCCAGGGAGCCCGCGAGACCGGCCTTGCGCAACCCAAGAGTTCCTCGGCAGGATAGTCAGGGAGGGGGGGAGAGCGGGGGGGCCTCTGGCGCCCCGTGCTCCAGGAACGCTCCTCCGGAACATGGCGTGCGAACGATGAGGATCGGGGATCCCAATAAGCAAAAATCGTAGATTTCCTTCTGGGGAAACTGATATTTTGGGCGTGTTTGCCTTTTGGGCGTCCACTGCGCCAGGGGGCGCCAGGTGCGACAGGTGCGACAAGTGCGCCCGCAGGGGACAGGGAGGCCTCAAAGTGGTCCGCGTAGGACGTACCTCTGCTGGGCCTCCCAGGAACTTACGAAAGTGGCGACAGTTGCCAGATCGCAGCCCCGCAGGGGGCAGGGAGGCCTCAAAGTGGTCCGCGTAGGACGTACCTCTGCTGGGCCTCCCAGGAACCCACGAAGTGGCGACAGTTGCGCAGATCGCAGCCCCGCAGGGGACAGGGAGGCCTCAAAGTGGTCCGCGTAGGACGTACCTCCGCTGGGCCTCCCAGGAGCCCACGAACGTGGCGACAGTTGCGCATATCGCAGCCCAGCAGGGCACCGCGAACACAGGAGAGAAGAAGGAGGAGAGGGCGGGAGGTGGATACCACAGTGCTCTATTCAAAACGAGTACCCAACACAAGGAGGGTTTGGAAAAAAGGGAATGCCCAGAATTCCAGTTTTTTGTGTTTTTGTTTGTTTTTGTTTTCTCTCTCTCTCTTTTTGTTTTGTTTTTTTCTCCAATCTATATATATATATATATGGTATCCTTAAAAGGGGGTCTATGCTAGTCCACCTGGGCGCGCGCGGTGCCGTTGATGCTGCGCTCTTTCCGTAGCTTGATGGCTCGAATAACGCCGTCACCGGCGGCCAGGAGTCCTGCCCCCCCCGTGGGGTAGTTAGGCCTGGCCACCACATCCGCCTACCGTTCAGGCGCTGGACGGAGGTCCAGGCGCGAGTTCCGAGGGGCCAGCGCCCGCCAGGAGGCGCGCCGTCGCCGTGACGTCGCCTGAGCGCCGTGCCCGCGGCCTCGGGGTTCCGTCCGGCGCTCCTGGCGGGGAGCTCTCGCGGCATGGCGGAACCAGGCGCGTGGCCGCTGCCCCGTGGCGCCTGGCTGGACGCGAGCCTCAACGGCACCATCACGACGACGGTCTCGGTGCCGCCGGGGACGCTCATCCTAGCGCAGGTCGTCGACGCCGGCGGCCGCCCACAGGGGACCGAGCTGCTCCAGGTGGAGGTGGCCTATGCCCCAGGCCCCCTCGGGAGGTTCGTCAAGGCCGCCCACGTCGGTGCCAGCGACGAGTACTTCAGCTGGTACGCGCAGCACCCGAACGTGGAGGGCGGGCGGCCTGGGAACACCGTGTTCCACCTTTGCGCGTGCGGGGCCAGCGGGTGTGCGGCCCCGACACCTCGCGGGACGGTGGTCGAGCACCTCGACATCTGGCGGGTCGTCGATCCCGCCGACTTCGAGCAGGAGAAGGCCAAACTCTAGTGCCCTCGGCGGCGCGCCAGCGACCTGGGCGTGCCGCTGCGCCCCCCGCCGCTCGCGCCGCCGCCCGAGGCGGCGCCGCCAGGCGAGGGGCCGCCGGCGGGGGAGCCCGAGGAGCCGCTCGACGACGCGGAGCCGCCGGCGAAGCGCCCCCGCCGCGAGCCAGGGGGCGTCGGGGGGACGGCCACCCCGCGGCTGGGCGGCAGCCTCGCGGACGGCGGCGGCAGCCCGCTGGACGCGGAGCTCGCGGGGCTGGAGGACGTCGCTGCCGACCCTGGCCTGGAGGACAGGCTGGCGCGCCTGGGCAGCCGCGGAGGCCCGCGAGGCAAGCAACAGCGAGACCCCCTGAACGCCTCGCGCCCCGGCGGCCCGGTGCGGGACCGCCTTTCAGCGGCTGTGGCCGCGCGCGCGGCGGAGGCAGGAGCTGCTGCAGCGGGGAAGCCAGCGGCCTCAGGCGCGCGCACGCGGCTGGCCTCGGCGCTGGCCGCGGCGCTCCTTGGCCCCGGCGAGGAGGAGGGCGACGAGGCTGGCGACAGCGACCTCGAGCGGGGTGCGCTGGGCGAGAGCTTCCAGGGGGTCGGCATCAAGCGGGACCTCTTCAGGCAGATTGCCCGCCGCCGCCCGGGCGCACTCCTCGAGAACGGGCTCGCGCACCTCCGAGGCCAGTTCACGCGGCAGCTGCGCGTGGCCGACGGCGACCCCCTCGCGCCGTGCGTCACGCAGTTTTTGGACACGGTCTTCTTCGTGGCGCACCCGCCGCGGACGCTCCCGCCCGAGGAGGTCCGGTCCCTTCGGTCGCTCGGGCTCGCCCTCGACGGGATCCTCAAGGGCGACGTCGTCGAGACCGGCGACCTGCTGATGCAGGAGTTCAAGGCCAGGACGATGGCCATCCGCGACGGGCACTGGCGGACGGCGAGGTGGCTCACGCTGGTGCCGCAGGAGCAGCCCCCGTCGGGAGCTACCATCGACGAGGAGACGGCTGCCGAGAAGGTCGAGGCGAGGGAGCTCAAGGTCGCCGAGCTCCGCCGCAAGCTCCAGGACAGGAGGCCGGGCTAGGGGCCTGGCCGGGAGTCGTCGCCCGCCCGGGGGGACGCGGCTCCCAGCGGCCATGGCCTTGCGGAAGCGAGGCCCCCACCCCCGGGGACCCCGGGGACGCCAGTCGCGGGCTCTGCGGAGGCCCTGCGGATATTGGCAAGCCGAGTCCCAGCGGGCGGAGCCGCAGCCCCGCCTCAAGCTGCGGGCCGGCGCCGCGCTGCAGCAGCCCCAGCAGCGCCGGGCGGCGAGCGGACGGTCCACATGGTTGCGGGGTCGGACACCGAGACGGAGGCGCCCCCACCGCCCGAGGAGGGCGGCGAGCCAGCCGCCCCTGGCGCCAGGAGCTGGAAGGATCTGAAGGGAACCTTTCCGAGGCGCGAGGGCGAGACGCGCGCCCAGTGGAAGTCCCGCATGCTGGTGGCGAGGCGCGGCCGCGCAGCCCCAGGGGCCAGGAGCGCAACCGCCCCGAAGGCCAAGTCGAAACCCGTCGCCAAGGGCCAGCTGGCGCGGCCCCCCTGGTCCAAGTGAGCGCCGAGGCGCACCCCCAGGGAAGTCCGGGATTTTCTGGAAAATTCCCGGGGTTCCCTGCCGGGGCGCCCCGATTGGCTTCGGGAGACAGTGCAGAGCCTGATGAGCGCCATTTCAGGGGCGCGCCCCAGGTCAGGCGCTGGCGCCAGCTGCTCGCTTCCAGCTGCACAGGAGCGGCCACCAAGTTCGAGCTGGCCCTCATCATGCACGAGGCTTCCCACGGAGCGCCTGGGGACGTCGGGAGGTTCATCAGGCGAATGCGCGTTCCACCAGACCCCACGGAGAGCTTCACGCGCCTGCGCGAGGTGTTGCCGTTACCCGTTCCCGACGCCCCAGTCTTCAGTCAGCTCCGGGCAGCCCGCTATGCTGGGCAGCAGCTGGCAGCCGACAAGGTCGACCAGGCCACCGCCGAGGCTTGGGTCCAGCTCGTTGTGTTTAGCCTTAACTACCAATACACCGGGCACATGCAGGCGCCGACGGTGCCGCCTGTCCAGAGCTCTGCCAGCCAGGTGAACGCCCTCGGGATCATCCGCCAGGCATGCGACTACTTCGCTCGCGGGGCAGACACCACGGTCGACCTCCCCGCCTGGGGGGAGTTGATCAGCTCGAAGGACGTCACCTACGGCGGCGAGGAGGTGGCACGCGCCCTGCCTCTTACCCTCGGCGGCGTCATGCCCGGGCTGCCAGCGAAAGGCGTAGCCGCGTCGGCGAGGGCGATCGACATCGCAGACGCCCGGGTGGGCAGCTGGCTGGCCGATCCAGGCTTGGCCCTGCTGCCGCGGGCAGAGTGGCCCGAGGAGGTGCCAAGAGCATCGATTCAGGTGAAGTCGAAGCAAGAGTGGCACGACATCGGCGCGAAGCTGGTCGAGCTGGGCCTTGCGGCGCCGATCGCGGAGGAGAGGATCTTCAAGGTTGGGAACCGCAAAGTCCTTGCTGGCGCCTTCGGGGTTCAGAAGAGCGGGACGCCTACGCCCGGGTGCCCGTGGGTGCAGAGGCTCATCATCAACATGGTCCCAGCCAACAGCTACCAGCGCATCGTGCGGGACGACGTTGGCACCCTCAGTGCGTCGCCGTCGTGGGTGGCCATCCCGCTCCCCGAGGGCCACATGCTGCTGTGGTCGTCCGACGACCAGGCCTCCGCCTTCTACTGCTACGAGCTCCCGGAGGCTTGGCAGCCCTACATGACGCTCGCGGATGCTATCCCGAACGAGCGCATCGGGGTCAGCGGGCCTGGGAAGACGCACATCGCGCTGCGGGTCATCCCGATGGGCTGGGTCAACGCCGTCACGGTCTTCCAACGCTGCCACCGCCGGCTCGGCTTCAGCATGCGTCCCCTGGGCGCAGGGTTCGCCCCCAGCATGGAGTGGCGCAAGGACCGCCCGCTGCCCTTCAAGTCGAAGGAGCTCGAGCAGAAGTGGGTTCAGTACTACATCGACGACTGGGACCACGGCGAGATCGTCCCGGAGCGGCTCATTGCTGAGCTTCGTGGGACCGTGGGCGCGGTGCAGGAGGAGCAGCGCCAGGCCTACCGCCGCTCCGGGATTCAGGTGGCCGATGGCAAGGCCAAGCACAGGGCACTCATTCTCGAGCGGATGGGCGCCGGCCTTGACGGCCTCGAAGGCCGAGTCGGGGTCACCGTCGAGAAGCTGCACGCCCTGCTTGGGTTCACGCTCTGGGGGATGGGCCAGAGCGCGATGTCGTCGCAGGCCGTCCTCATGATCCTTGGCCGTTGCGTTAGGGCAGCTGAGTTCCGGCGGCCGTTCATGGGCTACCTCAACGCGGTGTGGGCAGCTGGGCGCTGGCAGCAGCCGCAGGCAGTTCCCCTCGACATGTGCGACGAGCTGCTTAGCTTCATGATGGCCCTCCCACTCGCATTCACCGACTTGCGAGCGCAGATCGACCCGTGCGTCATCGCGACGGATGCGAGCGAGCGTGCTGGAGGGATCTGCCACGCGGTCGGGCTCACCGAGGCGGGAATTGCGTGCGCGATGGAAGGCGCCTCGGTCGTCTCGCTGCGGCCGGGGGCGATATCGTACCCTGTAGAAGGGGTGCGATGGCGGCCGCGCGTCGTCATCGTGGAGCTGTTCTGTGGGGCGGCGGCCGCAGCAGTTGCAGCCTCGCGCCTGCCCTTCACCATCGTCGCCCACCTCAGCAGCGAGGTGGACCCAGCTGCCCGACGGCTGGTCCGCAGGCGCTGGGCTGGCGTCGTCGAGCTCGGGGACATCGAGCGGATCGATGGCGAACGGTTCAGGCGCATGCTCGAGAATTACAAGCGCGACGCCGACTGGGTCCTTATCACTGCTGGCAGCCCGTGCCAGGACCTCGCAGGGCTCAATGCTGTGGGCTCAGGGCTGGAGGGCGCGCGGTCTCGGCTATTCCTGCGGGTGCCTGAACTCATCGGCGTCGCGGAGGAGGTCTTCCCGCGGCGCGTGGTGTGGTTCGTCGAGAACGTCTTCAGCATGACACTGGAGTCGCGGGCGCAGTTCACCAAGATCTTGAAGGTCACGCCCGTGCTGCTGGACGCGAAGCACTTCACCCGGGTCAGCCGGCCGAGGCTCTACTGGTGCTCCTGGGCGGTCTGTTCTCACCTCCCGCCCGGCTGCCTGGCGGAGGTCAAGGGCGCGGGGGGCGAGGCGCACACCCGTATCGACGTGACCATCGAGCGCCTCCCCTTCAAGGCTGTCCTCCACGAGGGTTGGTCGCTCCTGGACGGCAACACCGACCTCCCCTGCTTCACGAGGCCGATCATCAGGAAGCACCCCCCGCTCAGGCCCGTCGGGATCGAGCGCGCCACGGAACAGGCTCGGAGTCGCTGGGCGTCCGACGGGTACCGCTACCAGGTCAACAACTACGAGGGCGGAGTGCTCATCTGGGATGCGGCGCGTGAGCGGAGCCGGCTGCCCGACCCAGAGGAGCGCGGTGCACTCATGGGCTTCGACAGGTTATATTTTCAGGGCGCATTGAAAGATAGCGTTCCTGAGTCCGAGCGTGCAGTTGTCATGGAGTCTCTCATTGGCAATACCTTCTGTGTGCAGGTTGTCGCTTTTATCCTTGGCACCTGGTTGGCTCAAATCAAGTCAGTCAAGGCGCCAGTCGCGGGCCAGCAATGCCTTGAGATCGGGGCGTGCGAGGCGAACTGGAACGTCGTCCCGGACTTCCAGCAGCCTGGGCTTCGCGATTCAGTCCTCGAGCGGAGCCTCATCGTCGAGTTCCTGCGCATCGCCGACCGCGGAGCTCCGACGTGCGCCTCGACTGCGGGGCTCTGTACCGCGCGCGTGCGTGGCCGCGGGCAGGGCTGCGCACCCATCTGTGGGCCTGGCGGATCGCCGAGGGTTTCCTGTGGCAGAGACCCGCCCACATCTCCGCGCTGGAGCTGGAGTCAGCCGTCGCGGGGGCCAGGTGGCGCTGCCGGGCGGTGGCCAATCACCGCTGCCGCTACCTCCACATCCTGGATGCCCAAGCGATCGCGGCAGTCAGTACCAAAGGCCGCTCGAGTGCGCTTGCCCTGCAGCCGGCCCTCCGCAGGCTCAACGCGCTGCACCTCGCGACGGGCGGGTGCCCGATCTACGGCTACTGCGACGCAGACGACATGCCGGCGGATACGCCGTCCCGCTGGAGCTTCGGCGGCGGGCACCATTGCGGACAGCGTGGCCGCCAAGGCTCCCGCGCGACGCCTGGCCGCGCGAGCGAGGCCCCTGCGGGAGGTCATGATCTCGCCCCTCTCGCTCCAGAGATACACTGATGCAGTCAACGAGGTCGTTGACTTCTGGGTGGAGGAGGGGCGTTCACCATGCGCGCCCGCGCAGGTTGACACAGATCTTGCGGCCTTCATCGAGAAGCGGTGGAGCGAGCACGGGTCCCTGTTTGACATCAACAATGCCATCGCTGGAGTATCACACTTTTTCCTTCCGGTGCGTGGGCATCTTCGTGAAAGCTGGCGGCTGGCGCGGACGTGGCAGCGCCAAGAGCCAGCTGGCCGCGCCCTTCCAATTGGGCCGCTGATTGCGGCAGCCTTCGCGGGGGCACTTGCCGCGACAGGCCACCTGGGCGCGGCTGCAGTTTTGGCCGCTGGGTACGACACGTACATGCGGACTGGCGAGATGGCCTCGCTCGTCTGGAACGACGTACAGCTGTGCCCAGCTCGGGCGTCAGCGGTGCTGCTGCTACGAGGCACAAAGAGCCAGCACCAGACGGGCGCCAAGGAGTTCGTCCTCGTGCGAAGCACAGTCGCCTATAAGCTCTTGGCGAGGGCCAAGGCAGCGGCTGCTCCAGAGGAGGCGTGCTTTGGCATGGAGCCCGGCGCGTTCCACCGCCTCTTCAGCCAGGTCAAAGAACTCCTGGGCTTCGGGAGCGCCAAGCTGACGCTGTGCAGCTGGAGGCGCGGCGGGGCCAGCGCGGACTTCAAGTCCCATGGCTCCATGGAACAGACCTTGCTCCGGGGCAGGTGGGCGTCGGTCCGCGCGGCAAGGCTGTGCGTCCAGGACGCCGTGGCAGAGGCGACGCAGCTCAACCTGAGCGAGCTGCAGCTCGCGCGGTGCAGGCACTGGCGGCCCGCCTCCGTGCCGCGGCGAGCTGACAGGGGGCCGAGGCGCACTCCCCGGGAAGTCCAAGATTTTTTGGAAAATCCCTGGGGTTCCCTGCCGGTGCGGCGGAGCTGGTCCTGATGAGCTGATTCTCGCGCGGTGGAGGCACCTGGCGGCCCGCCTCCGCGCCGCGGCGACCTGGAACAGCTCATTCGCATCCCTGTCTTTTTTTTCCCTCCCCGCTCTCCCTCCTTCCTCGCCTCCGGAGTCAGGGTGAGAGAGTTGGCGCTGAAAGGGCGTGACAGGACGGCTATGCCAGTAAGGGGTCCGTGGAGAGTGTCAGACGGCGTGAGACCCCTGGGTCCTCGGGGTAGGCTCGGCCCTAGCTGCGGCCTGGCGGAGCCAGGGTCGGCAGTGCAGGGGTCGGGCCAGCCCGAGGTTGCCCGAGGGGTCTGGCCGTCTGGCCCCCAGGGTGTCTGGACCTAAGAATTTCCCTGGTGGAGCGCGCAAAAAGGGAAGGACGGCATATGGTATCCTTGAAAGGGGGTCTATGCTAGTCCACCTGGGCGCGCGCGGTGCCGTTGATGCTGCGCTCTTTCCGTAGCTTGATGGCCCCACCCAAAGACAGGGACTATTGTCTCCTCTCGGAGATGAGCTCACGCGTGGCGTTACCGCCTCCGCGTGAGGTGCCAGACTCGAGAGTGTCAGACGGCGTGAGACCCCTGGGTCCTCGGGGTAGGCTCGGCCCTAGCTGCGGCCTGGCGGAGCCAGGGTCGGCAGTGCAGGGGTCGGGCCAGCCCGAGGTTGCCCGAGGGGTCTGGCCGTCTGGCCCCCAGGGTGTCTGGACCTAAGAATTTCCCTGGTGGAGCGCGCAAAAAGGGAAGGACGGCATATATATATATATATATATATATATATATATAGTGGGACTCTGACTCGGAGATCCCGCACATCCCCTGACATTTGGCCAGTACCGCGCCTCCCGGCTTCCCGGGGGACCCCCAAGACGCCCAAAGACAGCCCAAGACGACCTGAGGAGTCCCCAGAGTGTAAAGAACGGCCCAACACGCTCCCGCGCAGCCCGAGACACGGCTCTCCAGGCCTACAGGAGGCCTCCAGAACCCCCAGGGGGTCCGGAAGAACCAACACCCCTGAGGAGCCGGGCTAACAAAACCCACGAGGCACAAACAAAACACAGCGCCGAACGACGCCGAGGAACTGGAAAAAATGGACATCCCACAATTCCTTTTTCTTGTTTTTCAAGTTTGGCCCCCGGTCTACTCTCGCACAACACACCACAATTCAGACCCCGTCACCTCCCCAAAAAAACCCAGGAAGCATTTGAGGGCCCCAGATCGTTGAATACCGAAAGGAAATGAATTAATGATTTCTGCGTTTCCGCATTTCCCTTCTATACGATTCCGAGGCTTGCGCAGGGCCTCCAAGGGAGTCCCTGGACGCAGGAAGCGACCAAAATGAGATTACATGATTTGGCCGATCAAGCCTAGCTAGATCTTGAGCGCGCGCGAAGCGCGCGCGATGTTTTTGTTTATTATTATTATCATATGTTTTTTTCTCTCTCTCTCTCTCTCTCTCTCTTTCTATATATATATGTATACTCTCTCTCTCTCTCTCTCTCTCTCTCTCTCTTATATAATGGATAGGGGGTCCCAGGCACCCCAAAGTGCACTGATCTATCTTCTGGCCGTTTCGGGCTCGGCGGGGGGCGCCAAACAACGTCAAAGGGGGGCAAGAGGGCGCCAAGATGGCCCAAGAACGCTTTAAGAGAGCCCAAGACCGCACAAGAGCGTTTCAGAATTGGTCCAACATGGCTTAAAGACAGCCCGAGAGTGCTTCAAGACGGCCAAGATGCTCTCAAAAGGACTCCCACGAGGCACTCAGGAGGCGAACAAAGTGTTATTTTCGATGGTTTTTGAAGGTTTTTCGTGTTCTCGCTGTTTCGTGTTTCCGACTGTCCAAGACAGCCCACGAGGGCCCAGAAATCAGCTCAACGCGGCCCAAGAGACACCCAAAAAGGGCGCCACGACGGCGCAAGAGAGCCCCAAGACGGCCCAAGCGCGCCCCCCAAGACGGCCCACGAGGCGCTCAAGATCGCCCAAGAGGGCCCAAGACGGCCCCAAGAAGGGCTCAAGAGGGGGAACACGAACCGACAATTCGAGCCTTCCGCCCCAAGAGGCCTCCAGGAGGCCCCAAGAGGCCCCCAACAGAGCCCAAGAGGCCCCCCAGAGGCCCCCTAGGTGCCCCACGAGGCCCCAGAGGCCCCAAAGAGGCCGCAACAGAGGCCCCAAGAGCACCCCAAACGGCCTCCAAAACATACCGGTGCATAGCAAAGGACCGCCTAGCTTATCGTGGCATCGCAGCGTTGCATGACATGGCATGGCACGGCACAGCACGACATAGCTAACCGTGTCAATGCATACCATCGTATTGCATTCCATAGCAGTGTTTAGCTGAGCCTCACACTGCAAGTCACGACGTAACATTGCCCAGCATGGCATGGCATCTCATGACGCACCGTGGCGTACTATGGCATTCCAATGCGCATACATTACTAGAACAGCACCGTACTGCTCTGCGCAAGAGTAAACCGTGACCATACAAATATCACCCCCCCGTTGTTGCTCTTACTGTCGTCCTGTTTATTTTAGCCTAGCAGTTCATAACATGGCATAGCATTGCATTGCATTGAATAGCACGGTATGCCGTGTCTGTGCATACCGTGTAACGCGGTAGCATCGTTCTTCATAGGAAACATCGCATGATATGGCTCAGCGTATCATCCAACATATTACCATAGCATTTCACAGCACAGCATGGCATGGCATGCAATGCGCACTGTACGGTATATCATGTTATTGCATTGCATACTGCATAGTGGCATTGCGCTTTATAGCGTAGCATGGCATATCATGGCGTTCCATAGCATAGTGCAACATGGCGCTGTAGCGCTGCATTTTTCCTGGCCCATAGCTTGGCGACAGATCACCGGTCGACCGGTCGATGAGAGCGGAGGAGGAGGAATAAGGAAGGGGCAGAAGGAAACATATGATGTTGACCAGCATTTGCATCTAAGGGGTAAATCGACCAGCAGGTCCCAGGCCACGCCAGTGGGGATAGGGATCGGTTAAACGATGCCCAGTTTGCCTCCTCCTGCTGCTCCTCGAGCCGACGGTCGGGGGGCGCGTTGTCGGCGCGCGCCCCGCGGGCTCGGAGGAGCAATGCTTTGTGGTGCAGAGTGCCGCGAGTGTCGATCCTAGCCGCAGGGGAGAATATGGCGTTTTTTCTGCATATTTGCACGTGCGGGTTCCTTGACACGAGTTTCATTGATTGCCCCAAGTGCTCCGCAGCCACGCTCATAGCATAGTGCAACATGGCGCTGTAGCGCTGCATTTTTCCTGGCCCATAGCTTGGCGACAGATCACCGGTCGACCGGTCGATGAGAGCGGAGGAGGAGGAATAAGGAAGGGGCAGAAGGAAACATATGATGTTGATCTGCATTTGCATCTAAGGGGTAAATCGGCCAGCAGGGCCCACGCCACTCCAGTGGGGATAGGGATCGGTTAAACGATGCCCAGTTTGCCTCCTCCTGCTGCTCCTCGAGCCGACGGTCGGGGAGCGCGTTGTCGGCGCGCGCCCCGCGGGCTCGGAGGAGCAATGCTTTGTGGTGCAGAGTGCCGCGAGGGTCGCTCCTAGCCGCAGGGGAAAAATAAGTGCTCCGCAGCCACGCTCATAGCATAATGCACAATGGCGCTGTAGCGCTGTATTCTTCCTGGCCCATAGCTTGGCGACAGATCGCCGGTCGACCAGTTAAGCGCGCGCGAAGAGCATGCGTGGTTCTAGGGTCCCGGGGCCCCCAAAGTGCACTGATGTGTTTTCCAGCCGTTTCGGGCCCAGCGAAGGGCGCCAAAAAACATCAAAGGGGGCCGAGAGACGCTCAAGAGGGCGCCAAGATGGCCCAAGAGCGCTCCAAGAGAGCCCAAGACTGCACGAGAGCGTTTGAACATGTGTCCAAGAGGCCTCCAAGAGGGCCCAAGAGAGCTCCGAGAGACGTCCCGAGAGGGCCCGAAGAGGCCCAAATCATTGATGTGCATTGGTTTGTTCGATGATTTTCGCTTTCTCGCGTCCTCGAGCTTCCAATGTTCGAAGAAGGTCGAAGACGCCCTCAAGACCGCCTCAAGACCGCCGAAGACGCCCCAAAAGAGCGCCAAGACGGCTCCAGAGAACCTGCAAATTGCACACGGGAGCCCCAGACGGCCCAAGAGGCCCCAGGATAGGCCCAAAATGGACCACAGAGCGGGAGCGGGAGGCCCCAGGGCGCTCGAAGACGGCCCAGATGGCCCGGGCCTCCCCTTTCTGTCCCTCCTTCCATCCCACCCCCTCCTCCATTACCTCCTCTCTCCTCTTCTTCCCCTCACCCCTCAGTTTTCGTGCTTCTCCCTCCTCTCCTGGGACGGCCCCGCCAGAGCGCCAGACAGGCCCCGCCTGAGCGAGCGGGGCATCGCTATACCCTATCATTTCACAATTTGCTTTGCCCGTCACACCCCTCAAGGGCGGCCCCGGCAGAGCGAGAGGGGTGTTGCTATAGCATATACAGTCCTTGTTACGTTTTGCTCTTCCCACCGCACCCGAAGTAGTTCCGTTAGAGCGCACGGGATGTGGTTATACTATAGTTTTCCTCAGGTTTCGTGCTCTTCCCTCCCCTCCTGGGCAAGCCCCGCCAGAGCGCCAGGGAAACCCCCGTTAGAGAGAGCAGGACATCCCTACACCATACTCTTTCACGCGGCTTTTGCTCCTCCCACCCTTGCAAGGCGGACCCGCCCGAGCGAGCGGGGTGTGGCTATACCATACAATAGTTTAGGTTTCGTGCCCCTCCCCCACCTCCTGAAAGGCCTCGCCAGAGCGCGAAGAAGGTACCGCCAGAGGCCCCGTCAGAGCTCCACGCAACCCCATACATGGGACTTGCCAGGCAAATCATTGAGCATCCCCCGTGACCCCGAGCCTTCTGTTCCCACGGGTGCGATTATCGCCGGCATGAGGTTTGGCGTCCAGCACAAAGAAGTTTCCCCACTCCCGTGGACGGACTCGACAGCAACTGATTGCAGAGAAGGGCACAGATGACGAGGGCATCTGCGCGCGCCCTCTGCAAATATCCGACAGCTGAACGACCGCTGTGAACGAGAAGCTTGGAGCACAAGGAAGAGGAAAATAACAACGCGCTCCCACGCGCGCGCAACGAGGCCCCGAGCCAACCCCAACATCAGGAACCTTCAGATGTCTGCGTGATCGGGCATGGGGAGATTGAGCAGATGTGCGAAATCATTGAATGTTGCGACGGGGCAGAGCGGAAATGAAAGTGGAGAAACAAACGCAGTTCGATAAACCAAACGAAGGCGGCAGCGAGATTGTGAGGTGCGCGGGAACGTGGCGCCCCGCGTTCAGACTACGCGTTTTTTGCGTCCATGACATGGACCCGAGAACGCTGGAACTCGTCGTTGTGGCCACAGCGGGGTTTACAACGGCACCCGTGGCTCATCTGCGACTAGAACCTAAGCGCGCGCGTAGCGCGCGCGTGGTTCTAGTATGTATATATGTATACACATTCCCCAACCAGTGCTTGGACTTTCGGGCTTGCTTTTCTGAGGATTTGGGCCGTGTCTTCGGTTTGCCGGCTATGTGGCCGCCGTCGCCGCCCCGTCGCCGCGTCGTCGCCGTCTTTCGTTTGGGCAGCGTCTTCGGTTTGGCGGCTACGTGGCCGCCGTCGCCGCCCGTCGCCGCCTCGTCGCCGCCCGTCGCCGCCGTTGGATTGCACCACGTGGATGGCACGACAAATAGTCGCGCCTGCGGCGTGCTTTTTGGTCGCTCGTAGCATGGATTTCACCACGTGCTTTGCACAACGTAGATTGCACCACAAACACTGCACAACCACATCTGTTGCACCCCAGAGACTGCGCAACCTAGGTTGCAATACCTTATTATTATTGAATCGCTTCGCTCATGCCGCCGGCCCGTGGGGGCCTTTTGGGGGCCTCTTAGGGCCTCCAAGAGGCCTCTTGGGGGCCTCTTAGAGCCTCTTGGGGGCCCCCTGGGGGCGTCTTGGGGGCCACCTGAGGGCTCTTGGGGGCCTCTTGGGGCCTCTTAGGGGCTCTTGGGGCTTCCTGGACGCCTCTCAGGACCGAGGGCTCGAAATGTTGTTTCGTGCTCCCCCTCTGGGGCCGCTCTTGGGGCGCTCTAGGGGCCCTCTTGGGCCGTCTTGGAGGCCTCTTGGGCCGTCTTGGGGCCCTCTTGGGCCGTCTTGGGGCCCTCTTGGGGGCCTATTGGGCCCTCTTGGGGCGATCTTGGGGGCCTCTTGGGCCGTCTTGGGGCGTCGGGAAGCCGAAAAGGTGGAAACACCAACATCTTGGCCATCTTGGGCGTCTTGGAGCGATCTTGTGGCATCTTCGAGCCCTCTTGTATCATATTGGGGGCCTCTTGGAGGTCGAGGGCGGCGCCCAGACGGAAAACCATCTCTGACCCGACCCTGCCGAGGTACTTTTCCTCCGGGGACCCCCAGTGGCCGCCCCCCGCGCGCGAAGTAGAAATACTGTAAAGCAGCTACCGGAGATCTTAGCCACGCTTCTGGCCCTTACTACACAGATTGCACAACATAGGCTGCACAACATCAATTGCACAACCACACGTATGGCACAGCATAAACTGCACAACATATAGTGCATTCCGTATATTGCAGCGCGTAATGTACTCAACATTTATTGCACAACATAGAATGTACCACATACGATGCACCGCGCAGAGTGCACAACATATTTTGCACCGCGTCGATTACCATGAGCTTGCGCATGTGGCGCACTTGTTTATGATATTGCACCACATATTTGCATCACATAGACTGCACCACTTAAGTTGCGCAGCGACAGGTATTACACCACATTAGTTGCCCACCATCTTATGACATCGCGTACATTGTACATCATGCATTGTGCCAAATATACAGCATAGGTTGCACAACGTAGATGTTACAACTGCGTCCATTACACCACATATATTGCACTAGTATATTGCCCCACATAGATTGCACATGTTGCACCACATATATTCCACCACATATAAGCACACCATAGACTGCACAGCATATGTTGCACACCATGTATTTCGACACTCTGGTTGTTTCACATCTGCCTTGTTTGCACAAGACAGATCGCGCAACACATGAGGGGCAGCGTCGATGGCACACCGTACATTGTACAACGTATATTGCGCGACACAGATGTCACCACACATGTTACGCCAATTATATTGCACAACACACTTTGTACCCCATAGATCGCACCACTGTTACTGCATAACATAGGTTGGACAACTAAGATTGCATCGCGTATATGGAACAGCATGTGCTGCCAGAAACACACGGTTTGGGATTCACGCTGGTTAGTTTATGTGTGTATCTACATACACATACAGATACAGATATATTAGGAGATGCCTGCGATTTTAGGTTTCTGGCTTGTCCATGGGCTAAGACGGCCCAAGAGGCCCCCAAGGTCGCCCCAGGATCGCTTCAGGCGCCCCCGTACAAGTGCCCATGCAGCCCTGAGGGGCCCCACTGCGGCCCCCGAGGCGCCCCTGAGGCGTGTCAGACTGTCCCCTGACGGCCCAGGCAAGCCCACAGAGGCCCCCTCACGCTCCAAGAACGCCTTCAATCGCGAACAGAGGCGCCCAACACGCCCCAGATGGCCTCCCCACGGCCCAATCAGTCTCCAAGACGACCCAGGATGCCTCCAAGAGCGCTCCTACGACGGCTGCAAGAAGCAACATCCATCTGTTAGTTCATCAGTGTTTGAAGGATTTGCGCTATTTTGCCTTTCCGGCTTCTCCACGCGCTACCATGGCCTCAGAGGCCCCTAAGATAAGATCGCCCCGCGACTGCCTCAGACGCTTCCGAGAAGGTACCAACACAGCCCCTTGGGGCCCCAAACAAAGACGGCGCACGAGCCGCACCAGAGGCTTCGCAGACGGCTCTACAAATGCCCACGAGAGCTCCCAGGCCTCCCAGACGATCCAAGAACAGTCTGGATCGTTTACAGAGGCGCTCCGCACGCCCCGAAGACCTCCCCTCGGCCCACTGGGCCACCAAGACGAACCACTATGCCTCCAAGAGAAGTCCGTCCCACGAGAGCCCCAAGAACCTGTTCGGAGGTTTTCCCTGCATGTTCACCATTCCGATCCGGCTTCTCCACACTCTCAGACGGCCCCAGAGGCCCCAGGCTCGCCCCAAGATCGTTTCAGACGCCCTCACGAAGGTGCCAATGCATTCCTGCGGGCCTCAAGGCGGCCCACGAGGCCTTCAGGGCCTCTTGGGCCCCAGGAGGGGTCTTCCTGAGCCCCCTTCGAGACCCTCTTGGGCCCCTCCTCTGTGGAGTGGGGGCGCTTCCTGAGCAGAGACAGTACAGTCGCGCGAGAGAGCGCGCGCGTGACTTACCTTTCCATATTTTTTTGGTGCCCCTCGGGGGCCCTCTTCGGGTCCTCCTGGAGCCGTTCCCGGCTCTTCTTCCAGCACTCTTCCAACGCGGCCTGGGAGGGCTCCCAGAAGGCTTCCACAGCAGTGCACATTAAGTCACGCGAGAGAGCGCGCGTTAAGTCGCGAGAGAGCGCTCGCGTGATTTACCTATTACTGCTCTCGATGGCCCTCTGGAGCCCTTTTCGGGTCCTGCTGGAGCCCTTTCACGACCCTCTTCGGGCCAGGCAGCGCGGCCTGGGAGGGCTCCCGGAGACTAGAGGGCTCCAATGGCAGAGCACGTGAAGTCACGCACAGAGCGCTCAAATGACGATGTCAACGATGATTGTTATGCTGGTGATTATGGCGACGATAATGGTCATGATGACAACGATGATGTGGGTAATAATGATGAGTATGGTGCTTATGACGGTGATGATGATGATGATGATGATGCTGATGCTGATGCTGATGCTGATGATGATGATGATGATGATGATGATGATGATGATGATGATGCTGATTATGATGCTGATGATGATGATGATGATGATGATGATGATGATGATGATGATGCTGATGCTGATGCTGATGCTGATGCTGATGCTGATGCAGATTGCGACGGTGATGCGGAATCTATAGTGCAAGCTATGTGGTGCACGTTTTGCGGAGGCCGCTATGCGATGTAAGTTACGAGGTCACAAGTTATGCGGTGAAATATATCTGGTGCAAGCTATGTGATACAAGCTGTGTGTTGCAATCTACGTGGTGCAGGCTATGCCGGTTCTATCTGGTGTAGGCCTTGCAAATCAGATTGCACGCGCCCACCAGGCGCCCACGGACGGCCATGCGCGGCAATGCTGCGAATAACAGGTAACCCATCCAGCACACGACGCGCCCACGAGGCGCCCACGGGCGGCAACAGGTTGCAACGTGGCGAAACCTGGGCACGCCCATCACATTTCTTAGGTAGGACACGAAGAAGCCCTGCGGGCAAGCACTGTCTGGGGAACCTGCATCTGATGCATCGGGGAAAGGAGCACACGCAGCCAACATGTGTAGAAGAGAGGGGGTGACAACGCGTGGGGCGGGCTTTGAGAAGCCAGCTGAGAAACTAGGGGACTTCTGAGAATCCCTTTCGCCTCTTGAGAGGCCTTTTCGACCGCCTGTGCTATAGACGGTCTGTGTGGACTGGTCCTTATCCGCTGCAGCGCCGTCGGCACGTTGGGGCGTAGTAAGTCGCATGCTTCGTTGATGTACATGCAACTGGGCCAGTCTCAGGAAACGCGATGCCCCCTCAGGAGGCTCTCCCTCGCCCAAGCCCCTTCTGCGCGCCGCCAGAGGAGGGAAGCAGGAAGGGGGACGTGGGACGACGAGGTCGCGGGAAGGATGAGGGAGGGAGCAGGGGGGACGCAGGATGCAAGAGGGGAGCGGGAGGCGACCGAGCAGGGAAAGAGGGAGGGACGTGGCACGACGAGTGCGAGGTGGAGAGTGGAGGAGGGAGGGGGCGACCAGGGCGCGCGGGACTCCGATGCCCGGCACGATCGAAATGGGTACGGAAAGACTAGGTGCGAAGACCGACAGCAGTCCCTGACCAGTTTGAACAGGGTTCGCTGTCGTCGTCGCCGCAGACGTTGCACACTTGAGACGGGAGGCCGCCTGCCCAACAGCGGCCACCGTCTGTTTTGGGACCACGTTTGTTGCTGGGCATCGTGCCCTTCTCTTCCGCACCGATTTCGGGCGTCCAGAGATGTTTTCCCCCCGCGCCCCGGCGAGGAGGGACCCGATGTCGCTGGTCTATCGCCGTGGTCCGTCGGCCACCGAGCGCAGGGACCGGGGGGTCGGGGGGGGGGGCAGGCTTATGGGGGAACGCATCGCCCCCCCGATCGCCCATTCATCGCCGATCGGGGCTCGATAGCCCATCCCGCCCAGAAACGTGTGGACTTTCTCTGCGTCGGGGGCATGCCGCTGACCTGTCGGAGATGTATCGCCGATTCCAAGTCGATGCTCGGGGCTCTGCTACACGGACTAGCCGTTAGGGCTGTCTTGGCCTGTCTGTTTTTATTTTGTTGCGTCCAGGTTGCTCCAGCGATACCTGAGAGAGCCCAGGAGTCGGAGCCCAGATCCAACCCTGCCAGCGGGCTATTGGAGCTGAGCCACTCCTCGGCATGGCTCTGGCCCTGGGGGGGGGACCATGATCCGCAAATTGGAGGAGCAAGAAGTCATGATAAGGGCACGTTACTCGATTTCCACGGTTTCCGATTGTTCTGCGCGGACTCTATAAACGAACGCCGCGAGATACCCTGGAATTCCTGGAACCTATCCTGATCGAAGCGAATCATGGCACCACTATCGTCCTAGCCAAGCTCGAGGCGCACGTAGCGGCGGTCAGCGCTCAGGGGGACCCCGTGCTTGGGAGTCACGTGGAGCCGAAACCCTTCCTCTGCCCTCCTCTGACCTGGCCTGGGTTCGAGACCTGGCGCTGGCCGACCCAGGTTCGCGTGGACCCGGTCAGCGCGCCCCCGCCAAGCAGTCTCTCCAGGAGCATGCATGAGTTGTCGCGCGGGACGGGTTCTGGCGGAGACGGCTCCCGGACGGTTTTTGCCGTTCTCTGGCTCGGGGCCCTCCTCGGGCCCGGGGCCGTCAAAGCGGCAGGCCCTCTGGGAGCAAGAGGCAGCCAGTTCTCTCCCGAGTGGTTGCCCGCGGGGGGCGCGGAGATGTCAGCGCGTCGTGCCACACGTTGCCTGGGCCGTCGGGGGGGGGCGCTGGGGCTTGAAGGTAACGGCACACGCATCGTGCGGTGCGAGACGCGCGATTGGGTGATTTCTATTGCTCTATATGGATGTCTGTGTATGTGTGTATATATATATATATATATATATGCACATGTATGTCGATGTATAATCTGCGAGTAGCTGCCCTTAACAGGTTTGACCAGAGGGGTTGGCTGGAGGGGTTGGCCAGGGGGGGGGCTGGGGTTCACGGTAATTGGTTCTTCGATCCGTATTGCTTGCGCAGCGCACAGATCGTGGCAGTTTTCAGTTGCCTCTGTCCCGAGGGGGTCTGTTGGGCTGTTGGTCCTGCCTCCCCCCCGCTCCCTGGCCCTTGGGGGTGGCTGGTGGAGCACGTGCCTATCACGGAGGGACGCTGCTGAGCCTGACAGGCCGCCTCCCGAAAGCCTATTCCGGATTTCACAATAAAAGGGTGGTGATCAGATTTTTTTTGAGTGGGGGATTTGAGCTGTCTTGCAGGATTTTAGCTTGGCCTGGGCAAAAGGACGCACTTTCATGGCTGGTCTGGGGGGGGGGTCCAAAACTGCTCGTCTGGGAGGGTTGTGACCCCCTCCCTTTTATTATGAAATTTGGAGTAGCCGCTGGCAGAACCGAGCTCGTCGTTTGAAACGAACCTGCCGCTCGGGTTTCCCGTCGTGAAGACCAGGGATCCTGTTTTGTAGTTTTTGGTCTCCCATGGCCTCTGCGGTGCCTTGGGGCTGTCAGCCTCTGGCGCAGGACTAGGCACTTGTCCTGTGGAAAACATCGGGATTTGGAGTCTGTTTCCCTCAGGACCCCTTTCCTTCATGCGAAGTTCCGCTCGAGACCCGCGCGGGCTGGTTCCTGGAGCGATCTTTCCGCTACCTTTTCGATTCGTAAGGCTTAGTAGGGCCTCCGCGTCTGTTGGTGCTCCATTCTCTCGATGGCCAGGTCGCTACTCGTGTTTCGCTCTGGACTGGCGCGGGCTCTTTTTCAGAGCGAGACTCGCGGGACTATTTAGGTTTCGAGGTTCTCTGCGTCGGTCGGCTCTCGGCGCTCTTGGACCGTCTCGCCCACGTGGTCAACTGGCGCGTCGGCGTTCGTCTGTCATTTTCAGCTGTGCCTACTTTCTGCGTTGGCCATTCGTGTGCATGTGTTCGTGTCCATGCACGGTCGACCGCGCGTTCCCGCTTGATGTGGCGGTCCACGTCGCCAGGCACCCTGATGACTGGCATGATGCAGCTGCGGCTCCTGACACTGTTCGGAAGCTGTTGCTCGATAGCGTATTACTTCACGCGACCGCAAGTCGTGTGGGGGCCCATTTGGACGGGGCTAGGACGAGGATAAATAAGTTCTAGAGCGTTCCGGAACGCTCTCAGAGCGTTCCGGGACGCTCTGAAAAGGCCGCGGCGCCTGAGACATCTTCCAGAGCCGCCGGATTTCAGAGATTCTCGATTTATCCTCACCCGATCTTATCCTTGTCTTGGCTTCGTCTTACCCATCTTCTGGGGCGCCGTGTTCGGCGTGGCGAACCTGCGGATGATTGTGAGGCTGCTGATCGACAGGATGCAGAGGCCGCGGCTGTCCGCGGAGGACCAGCGCATCTACGACCGCTACTTCAGCCGGGCGGGCATCCCACCATGGTCGCTCCGCCTCCCCGAGGGCCATGGGGGCTCATGA